GAACTTCGTCCTTGACATCGCCTTGGGTCGCCGGTGGCATCGGGGTCGATGGTCCAGCAAAAGCCTTCCTCCTCTCCGTCACGGACAGGCCGGGAGGATCTCCCTGCTCAGGGTCGTCCGTCTTGGCGATCCCTCTGGCCTTCGCCCGCCCCTGTGTGCCTTCGGGGCTCTTGGACGGGTGCCTCTTCGCAGGAGTCGGTGAAGACGAGGAGTCGGCTTCAGGTCTTGGAGGTGGTCTGCTGCCCTTGCCTGGTTGTGGACCAGGAGGGTCTTTAGGAGGGCCTTCTGGCTGGCCATGATCATGGATGATTTGCCTCATCTGGTCGATGTCGGCAGTACCTTTTATGGCCAGCTTGTACTTGCCATTTTCGTGGCGGTGAATTACCCTCGTGCAAAACCACTTCTGCGCCGAGGAGCTGTAGTACCAGCAGGCGCATCCATCAGGGAATGGATTCTCTGAGCCGTCTTCCGCCGCCCATTCTTCATTCAGTTCGGTGTGGTCAGTACCGGCGGCGGACCCGGCAGCAGATGCAACAGCTATCCAATCTTCGTCCGCGGACCCAGCGGCTGGCGCCGCGTCTGCGGGTGACCCCGCTTCTTTGCTGGATCCTGCGGGTGACCCCGCCTCTTTATGGAATCGGCGGTTCCATTCCTTGAGGCGATGGTCATTGGGAAGCTGTACCCAATTTTCCCTGACAGTGTTGGCAACCTCTTCGGTCATAGGGACGCGATCGGCTTCTGTGATGCGCTTTCCTCCTCCAGGGACCTCCTTGTTAGGATCATGGACGTTGCCAGCGTCATCTCCATGAGACCAATTCCACGGGGTCTCACCGTGATGAGGACTCCTGGAGGGGCGGTCCATCGGACAACTGCGCATGTGACCTTTGAAGGGCTCGCACAGACATACTTGTTTCCTGTATGTCTTGCGATCGTTGATGATCTCCTGTTTCTTAGCCCTTTTGTCCCAAGCCTCTGGCGTTTTGGTCTTGCCACCCTTGGTGCGTATTATCATGCCAGTTTCGTCCTTTTTGGTGCAGTATTCCTTAGAATACCAGTGGCGGATCACGTCCATCGAATAGCCGGGGTACCAATTGATGTACCACTCCGGCACGTACTGAGCGGATACACCAACGGAGTGCTCCGTACTGTACGGGTAGCCCGATGCATCATGTGTAGGGCGTCGGGGAGCTGAACGGCTCCTCCTGCGGGCTGGCCCCGCTGACGCACTACCACGTTCCATGGGCCTTTGATCGTCATGCTCTGAGTCTCGGGGAGGCGATGGTCGTCTGTCCCTCTTGGCATAGCGCATGTCCTCCGAGTCCTCTGAGCTGTCCTGGACCATGAATACGTGCTGATACGGGCTTCGGAAGTACCCGATGTCGTTTAGCTGCTCCATCGCGAGGTCGTTGAGGTCCATCTGGTCGCAGCCCTGCATAAATACATCCATAGACCAAGCGGGTGGCCCCGCTGCTGCGGCTGGCGTCACTTCGGCGGGTGACCCCGCTAGAGCCTGGAGTGCTGTCAGCATCTGAGGTGCCGACATGTCCGAATCCAGGTATGGACGCAGCCGTGCGGCCCCTGGGCGCGACAGCAGGTCGTTCATGGTTATCTGCTGATGTGCTGGCGCACTCAGGAGCCGGATTGCTTCTGCGACCTGCTCTTGGAGCATGTCCTTATAGTCCTCTTCGGCCTCTTCGGAGTCAGAATACGCGGGATGGCCCCGCATTTCGTCATCAGCGTCTCCCGCCTCCGAGCCAGCTCGCGGAAGATCTGGCAGCAACGGCATGCCAATCACCTGCGGTGCCAGCGCGGCGGTGAGCTCTTCCTCGGTCGCCGGGACGGTCTCAGCTTCGGAGATCTCGTCGTCGGCGGGTGGCCCCGCTGGAAGACCGAACCAAGCATTGAACGCGACCTCGTCGACTTCGTCCCAGCCGTGGAACTCGTCGAAGAGGGTCACTGCGTAGTCTTCCAAGGCTACGGTCACTTCAGCGTAGCGGGCCATCGCGTAGTACGTGGAGGAGCCCGCGGCGGGAGCCGCTTCTGGATTGACGTAAAACTCGTAGTCAATGTAGTCTATGTCATCCATAAAAGAATTTTGAGCCAAATGTACGGATCCCTTTCCTTTCCCTTTCGGGCATTGATCGCGCAAGTGCTCTGTGCTGCCGCATGTATGACACTTCATAGTATTGCCAGAAGCGTCCCTAGGGTTGCCCCTCCGCCCTTTTCCCTTACCGGAGGTCCGCCTGCGACCCCGACCTTTGCCTCCGATAAGAACTTCCTCAAAGACTATATCAGTTAAGGACGTGAGGAAAGCAGTAATACCCCTACCATGCATACGGCGTCTGCGACCCCCTTTGCCACGACCCTTTCCATATCGTTTGAAATGTCGGCGTACTGCACGTCTCACTTTTCTGACTGGTTTCTTCATAAAGCGCCTCCAACGGCGTTTTGATTTGCGATAAGCCATAAAAGCGGCTTCCGCTCTTTGTTGTTCAGAAAGGTGAGTGTCATCCGCTGGATAGTCATTACCAGCAGAGACTATGCCATTGTGCTCATCGTCAGATGAGGTATCTGTGTCAGTGCCAGATTCAAACGGTGAGGGTGGCTGAGACCCTTGAGCGGATGACTCCGCTTGGCCCCAGAGGGTTGTGCCCGAGGGCGGGCTTGCAGTGTAGGCGGCGCCTGGCGAGTAGTTCGACCAGGCGTTCGCCTCAGCTGCCTCTGCCGATGCCTGGCCGGTCTGCCCTAAGAAGGCAGTGGCCTCGTTGGGCATATCGGCTGGGTCAGCCCAGGGACTTGGCTCGCCAGGACCAGCGGGTGACCCCGCAGTCGTGGCGTAGACACCTGCATGTGAGTGGTGCCCTGTGAAGATACCCGCAATGTTGCCAGGAGAGCGCTCGGCAACATGTCCGTAGTTCCTCATCCTGGTCAGCAGCCTGTCATAGTCTGCTTGTGTTCTGGGCATCTGATGATTAAAAGGCTCCAGCAGGTGTTGGGCTCGTGACGCGCCAACGCCTAACGCTCTGAAGAAGGATCAGCGTTAGGATCTGAAAGTTGGGGATGACAAAGCCAACAGAGTTAGCCTCGTCACGAGCCATCTCGAATCGAGCTAACACTGAGTCGATTCGCTCGCCCCTTTCGACGCGAAAGTCGATAAAGGGCAGTGCCAGAGTTGAGCTGGCGCTCATCTTCCAGATTTTCAAATTTGGTGCTCAGTAGGTACAGTATATATGTAACTGCATCCGTTGGCTGTCCATTGACAGTTACACCATAGTTGATGATCTGGGAGGGGACCTGCATGGCGATACGACGAGCAAGACCTTGAAGGCCTCGTTGTAGTGCTGCAGCTTGTTGAGGTGGCGTCATATTGCCGCTCGTTACGTTTATCCATGCATGTACTTCGCGAACGTATTCGCGAAAAGGCGTAGTACCGGCAGGGTCCCATGAAGGGCCGGTAGTACGCGTGTCGTCCATCCCCTGCCGCATGTATCCCACAGCACATCCCATTATTACCCACAGAATGCCGAAGATAGTTATCTTAATCCAGTGCATGTGCATTTCGGCTTCGGTGATTGGTTTAGGCTGTGGTTTGTCAGGCTCTGGCGTAGTAGCCGTGAGGCGCCTGACTGGCACGGGATGCAGGTGGCCCCGCTGCGGGTAGCCCCGCAGGGTGACCACGTTCTCGATCGAGTTGCCGATTGGCATCTGGTGGAAGTCGGGAGTGAAGTAGCGCAGTGAAGTAGGAGAGAGCGTCTCGAGTTCGCGGGTTGCCCCGCTAGCTCGATCGCGGACTGGCTCCGCTCCTCGCAGAGCCGGCGCAACATGGTATTCCACCGTAGTAGTAGTCCACCAAGTTGTGCCGTGGATTACAGGAATCAGAGCGAGAGCCAGCCACACGAGAGTGTAGCCAGCTCCGCTACCAAGTCGAAAACAAGCTGGTAAGCTTAGGTATATATTACGCCTTAGGCGTTCCCATATCCCAGGCTTTGGCTCATATCGCATGAGCAAGAGAGCAAGACGAAGCATGGGATCTGGAGTAAAGGATAGGATGGGCATCGTCAATGGAAAAGGTATTTTCCGATCTCAGATACGAATCGTGCGCCTCGGTGAGGCACAATCACATATTTGGCCGGGCCCGGCTTGAGCCAGGCACGGCAGCGGTACATGTTCGATTTATACCTCGCCTTTAACCTTCTCCGTTTAAAGTCGGCCGGCACCGGCTGAACGCGCCACGGGCCTCACGACGGGCCATGAGGGCCTCAAGAGGCAAACAAGATGGTCCAAGAGGGCCCTGAGTCGCCGATGGATCGTTCCAAGACGCTCAAGATGGCCCACATACGGCCCAAGAGGCCCCCGAGACGCCCCAATAGGCCCCCAAGAGGCGTCCCAAGAGGGCCCCCAGAAGCAAAAATCGTTCCATTCCCTAGGACAACGTATGATTTTAGCACATTCGCCTCTTGGGCTTCACAACGTTCAAAACGGCCCAAGAGGCCTCCAAGATCGGCCCCCAAGACGGCCCAGGGAGACCCCTTTTCTTCTTCCCAAGGTGGCTCGAGGCGTCTCAAGTTCTGTGCGGGTAAAACTATCTCAGCTTCATCGCGCGGCGGTCTTCAACGCTCCTGCAGCCAAGGGTCTGACATGCCCCCAATATAAGGCTCCAAGACGGCCCAAGAGGCCCCAAAGACGGCTCCAGGAGGGGACCCAGGCAGGGGGACCCGAACGGAAATTTCGAGCCCTCGGCCCCAGGAAGCCTCCAAGAAGCCCCAAGAGGCCCCCAAGAAGCACCAAGAGGCCCACCAGAGACCCAAGAGAGGCCCCAAGAGACCCCTAAAACGGCCCCCCAAAGGCCTCAAAAGTGCCGCCAGGAGGTCCCCAAGATACCTACTAGGAGCGCCCCGAGCGGTCGGCGGTGCGACGTAAGCCCAAGAATCTCCTCCTCCTCCTCCTCCTCCTCCTCCTCCGCCTCCTTCTCCTTCCGCTCCCTCCTCCCGAAGAGACGCCTGTAGTTCACACCGGCGAGGAGCTCGCTCCACTCCGCGTGGAACACCAGGTTGCCCTCGAAGCTGAACGACTGCAGGTGGCCGAAGCCCGACCTCTCCACCTGACGCCACGTCACCAATCCTCCCCTTCGCCCTCCCACTCACCCTCCTCCTCCTCCTCCTCCTCCTCCGCCTCCTCCGCCTCCTCCTCCTCCATCCTCCTCCTCCTCGTCCTCGTCCTCGTCGTCGTCCTCCTCCTCCTCCTCCTCCTCCTCAGCCTCCTCCTCCTCCTCCTCCTTCTCCTCGTCATCCTTCTCCTCCTCCTCCTCCTCCTCCTCCTCCTTCTCGTCCTCGTCCTCGTCGTCGCCGTCCTCCTCTTTCTCCTCCTCCTCCTCCTCCTCTTTCTCCTCCTCCTCCTCCTCCTCCTTTTCGTCGTCCATCTTCCATCCTCCATCCTCCATCCTCCATCAACCTCCTCCTCATCCTCAAGGACTCCCCCTTTGAAGGTGAGAAAGACGAGAACGAGGGGAAACGAAAGACTGGCGCGCCGCCTTGTCCTTCGGCGTCACAAACCACCCCTCGATGCGTCCAGCGCCCACGCAATTGCTCACCTGGCACAAGGGGGACGGAGAAGGAGGATGAAGAGGAGGGGAAGGGGAGGAGGAGGAGGAGGAGGCGGAGGAGGAGGAGGACGACGAGGAGGACGAGGAGGAGGGGGAGGAGGACGAGGAGGACGAGGAAGGAAAAGGAGGAGGAGGAGGAGGAGGACGAGGGGGAGGAGGAGGAAGAGGACAAGGACGACAAGGAGGAGGGGGACGACGAGGAGGACGAGGAGGAAGGAGGATGAGGAGGAGGAAGACGAGGAGGAGGAGGAGGATCGATGCAAAGGAGCACGACGCTCGAAAGGAGGGCGAGGTGGAGGACATGGACAGGACAGGCGACAAAAAGAGAAGGAATAATATTCGGAGGAGGAGGAGGAGGAGGAGGAGGACCAGCGTAAACCCACAACGCATCAAATATGTTGCGACAAAAACAACGGTTATATATACATATACATATACATATACATATACATATACATATCCATATACATTTACATAAACATATACATATACATATACATATACATATACATATGCATGTACATATACATAAACATATACACATACACATACATATACATATACATATACATATACATATACGCATACACATACATATACATGTACATATACATAAACATATGCATATACCTATACATATACATATACATATACACATACACATACACATACACATACCTACACATATACATATACATATACATAAACATAAACATAAACAGAAACATATACACATACATATACGTATGCATATGTATATACATATACATATAATGTCCTAAACGAGTGAGCTCCAAGAGCCTCGGGAACCCACCCACCCAACCCCCGAGCCGCCACCCAGCGGCGAGGGGAAGGACAGGGAAACGGACAGGTCCCAAGACATAGGGTCAGGCGGAATTCAGAGGGCGAGGCGAAGCCTCGGAGCGAATTAAGAAAACAACGTCACTCAGAAATCGATCTCGTTTTTCAGCAAACCGCGATATGACCAAAGCCATGATCTCATTACTGCAGTTCGTGACGTGCTGCAGTGTTCACTCCACAAAACAAGATATCTCCAGTCATTGGCAGAAATCCGGATGAAACTCGAGGCCTCGCCCCCAATATGAGAAAATCCCACATCTTCCCCATTAAGGGCGGGGGGGACGGGCCCGAAAAGCTGCGGAGTGACGTTTGCAACAAGAGCTAGCTGGACCGAGCACACTATGCATTAAAACCCGTTCGTTGAAACTCTCACTTCATCAGAATGTCCTAAACGAGTGAGCTCCAAGAGCCTCGGGAACCCACCCACCCAACCCCCGAGCCGCCACCCAGCGGCGAGGGGAAGGACAGGGAAACGGACAGGTCCCAAGACATAGGGTCAGGCGGAATTCAGAAGGCGAGGCGAAGCCTCGGAGCGAATTAAGAAAACAACGTCACTCAGAAATCGATCTCGTTTTTTTCAGCAAACCGCGATATGACCAAAAACCATGATCTCATCGCTGCAGTTCGTGACGTGCTGCAGCGTTCACTCCACAAAACAAGATATCTCCAGTCATTGGCAGAAATCCGGATGAAACTCGAGGCCTCGCCCCAATATGAGAAAATCCCACATCTTGATGAAAGGGCTCTGAAACTTGCCAACCTCCGCTGGCGAACTCCTCCCTCGCGGCTTTGAATTCAGAGCCGACGCCCGCGCGCGTGCAGAAGCCAATCGAGGTGGGAAGAAAAGAAACGGCCGAGGCGGAACCACATGGGCGGGCGAGCGGTGGGTACCTGCAATATCTCCTGAGCTGAGAGTGGCCGTCGCATGATGCTCGCATCAACGGCTGTCTCGATAGCATCTTGGACTCGAGACGCGATGCGCTCTAGCTCGGACCCCGGGTCGGCCCCAGTCAACGCCCACAGTGGATTGGCCCACTGCAAGCCGAACCCAAGACGTGCAATGTAATATCTGACTGCCAGGATCTCCTGCTCCACGAGCATCACCTCCCAGTCCCAAATAAAAAAGCTCTCCGTGAAATTGAACTGGGAGGAGGTCCTGGCCGACGCCGGCGCTCGAGCGGACACCCCATCCCATCGATGGCGGCCCACAGCTCCTGAGCCACCTCTGGGGGGGCCACACCTAGGCCGCGCTCCAGCTCGGCCATCACGTCGGGCCTGGAGCGCGCGCCGATGTCGACGACGAAGCGGCCGCCAGTGACGTTCAGGCGGCGCCCGAGGAGATCGACCCCAGACCATGCCTCGTCCACAAAATTTGTTGAATTGCGTGCAACCGACAACACCACGTTGCTCACCGCCATGGTGAAGTTCCCGGCCGCGAGTGCCACGGCTCCACCAGCTCCCGCCACGTCCTCCACCAGATGGGCTGCAGCGTCAGCGCTTCTGGTGAAATTGGGGAACACGCTCGAGGGAAACACGACGAAGAGCGTGATCAGGACGACGAGCGGGCAGAAACACGGGCCCAAAGCGGGCCTGACCACCTTGCAGAAGCCTGCAATCGCCTTGACCCGCGACCCCTTGGCCACTCGCGACGCTGGAGCTGGGACCCCCTGCGGGACAAACTTCAAGCCGCCCGGGATGATGTGCCCCGCCGCCTCCGTCGGCACTGCCGCCAGCGTCGTAGACGGCGGAGGCGTGCCCGGGGACGTAGCCGACGGCGGGGTGAAAACCATGATGGGGCCTGGCGGCGCGGCTGCTCGAGAGGCCCCCGACGACGCTGGAGACGGAATCTGCATCCAGCTTCCTGGCGCCCCAGGGGTCTGCGGCAGCGGCGGCGCGTTCTCGGGCAAGGCCTGCGGCCATCCCCACTGGCCTGTGTTCTTGTCCCTGACCGTTCCCTTTGGCGCCATGCTGCGGAGCCGAGCTGACGTCGAAAACCGAAGCTGGAAAGTACTGGATCCAACCCCTCTTGAGCCAGTACAACTGCTGTGCGAAGCCCTTCGTGTTGAGTTGCGTTAGTATGTGACTGGCTCCGACGATATCTAAATAAATCCTCAAACTCGCATCCGAAATCCACCTTCCTCTCTCGCGCACCTCCTCAAAGGACAGACCTTCTGCTCGACTGTCACTGGCTCATCCTGCCCTGGGGCTGCGGGGCCCCCATCCCGCAGACAGGCCCAACGAGGCCTCCACCTCCTTCATCAGCTTCCTGTAGCGAGCCAAAGTGTAGGGGAACAGCGGGGCGCCAGCCGGGGTAGCCTTGGTGATAGCCTCGAAGACGTCCATGATGTCCCTGTCCTCCTGGAAGATGCGGGCGACCTGGGGCCTCTTGAGCTTGGTCCCTGTTCGAGGAGCCAGTGCGATGGAAGCCGCAGCTTTGTCCGCCCCCCCCCCAAGATCCCTCGGGAAGATGATGTCCTCCGGTAGCATGCCCAGTAGCTCTGAAGGCCGAAGACCCGTGTGGCACTGGAGGATGATGCCGAAACCCAAGCGGGGGTGTCCTCTGGAGGCTAGGTGAACTCCAAGAAGCTTGCCAGGATTCTTTCCGAGCGGAGTCGTGTGTTTACGATATGCGTTCCGCTCCCACCCTGAGATAACAACTCGACTCCACAACAACTTATTCTTCGTCCTCGGAAAGTAGAACTCAACCGAGGGTACGATGTTGATAAACTTTGCTGGCGTGAGATGCTCATACTGATCATTTTTGAACTCTACCAAGAGATCGTCCCACTGGTCTGAGCCGCTGGGACGCAGGCCGCGCTGCAGCGCCCATGTCGAAAATCTGAGCGCGGCAGCACGGTACACTTCGAGTCTTCTCGGTGACTCTCGCAGCCTGGTCAGGGTCGAGCCGACGTGGCCCCGCCTGGGCCAGGCTGCTTCCTCCGGGACAACGCATCTGCTGATTGATGTGCGGCGTCCACCCATGGTAAGTATAGTCTGATGTTCATAGCCACTGAGAGTGCATTGATCTTCCTCAACAGGTAGTTGAGGTGTGGGGCAGACGACCTCCCCTTCGCCACCGCTGCTGCCAGTGGCTCGTTGTCCTCCATGCTGCAGATGGCATGGCCGTGCGCTCCCGGCAAGAGCGACAGGCCCTGGCACAGTCTGACCACAGCCCGACCCTCGCCCAGGATGATGTGAATCGGGCCTTTTCCACCTGCCTGCATCCAGGTCTCTCCACATGCCCTGAAGGATCTGCAGCAGCTCGCGCGGGATGCGCGACACTGGTATACGCCCTCGAAGCTCGCGATCCGCTCGATTGAGATGAGCCACTGACCCGTCCAGACGTGAAACTGTATGACCTGGACGCACTCCCGCCTTGATGACGTCTTCGGCCTCCTGGACCGAGATGCTGGTGCCCACTATCCCGCATCCTCCGTGGTCATCTCGATTAGCTCCTTCCGCATCGGAGGCAAACAGGACTGGGGCCGCGGGCAGATCCAGCGAGCACGTCATGAGCGGGATCACGTCTCTCATGGCCCGCACCTCCCTCTTCACCGAGACCCACCACCTGACAACCTGCCCCTGTCTCTTCTCCAGGAAGTCAAAGACGGCGGCAGGGATGGACATGAGCTCTCGGCGCAGCAGAGCCCCCCACATCCAGACGCCAATGAGGGCCCGCAGCAGCTCGACGTCCACCAGCGGCGCATCCAGGATCCACGCGAGCCCCGCCTCCAGATAGCTGGCCCTGGCACTCGCCAGCTTCAAGCGGGGCGGGAAGTTCTGCAGCTCGTAGCCCGCGATCTTGTTCCCCCCTGAGACCTCCTCACGCTCCGTCACCACGAAGCCTGCCTGCTCCCACGCGTCAGCTACCTGGGTCAGCATGCCCCAGCTCTCCTGCCGCGCGGAGCCACCCTTCGGCGAAGCCGCCGAGCACAACCCGTCGTCCACGTGCACGTAGATCGCGCGGACACCCGGCTTCAAGCAGACTGCTCCGCCCTTGCAATACCGTTCGTTCATCACAAATAAACCTGCACCGTCGCCTTCCACATTCCACTGGGAATGTCGGGGCCTCTCACGGCCCGTGCGGAGCCATCCTCCAGGACCCCTCCCTGAGACTAGTAGTCTGT